AAATATTTTGACCCCAAACAAACCCTAAACCATCAAAATTAAACTTTAATACAACATAGTTAACCTAAACATAAATGATATATTGAATAAATGATTTTTGAGAAATTTCAAAAAATTCCACTTTTCAAGTGTCACTTTACAAAAATGTCAGACTTATGAAATCTTTACAAAAGTACCACTTTTTCAAAATTATTTTTTCTTTATATTATTCATGTTTGGGTTAATTATGTTCTATTAGAGTTTAGTTATGAGGGTTTATGGGGTTTAGGGGTGAAAACATTTTTTAGTGTTTACAATTTTAAGATATAGGGTTTAAAAATCTATAATTAGTGGCATTTTTGCAAATGATCACCCCTAAATGATATTTTTGTAAATATGCACATAAAAGATGATATTTTTGCAATTTTTCCGTGAATTTTTTTTTTAAATGGCATTTTTGCAAGAATTTTTTAAAAATAACATTATTGAAAAATGACATCTTAAGACTGGCATTTTTCAAAATTTCTCAAAAATTAATCAAGGACCAAGGAATTTTATCATGTTCACTAATCTTATTTATTTTCCTCTAAAGTTTTATTTTTGTTAATTAAGTATCCGGGAAACAAGTATATTCTCGATAAAGATTACGCAACATGTCGAGTTATAATAATAATTTTGTTGCATAGTGCCTACTCCATTAAATTTGGTTCAAAATCTCTATGCTTCGTTGGTCCGATTTGAAGCAGAACAATTTCTTAAAATGACATTGTCCATCAAATCGATTAGGCAAAAGAAAAAACTTGTTTAATTATTCACAATGAAACGATCGAGACATTTTAGAAATGCGTAAACACTTTCACGTGTAAGCACTTTCAAAGGTTCAAAATAACTGAACAAATGTTTCAAAAAAAAATAAAAATAACTGAACAATGACATCAACGAGCATATAATAATTTGGGGCAATTACAAAAATATAATTTTTTGTGTGCATATTTGTAAGAATGCCACTTAGAGATGTCCATTGACAAAAATGCCACTAATTATAGATTTATAAAGCATATATCTTAAAATTCTAAACCCTAAAAAGTGTTTTGACACCTAAAACCCCCTAAACACTCAAAACTAAACCCTAATAGAACATAATTAACCCAAACATAAATAATATAAAGAAAAAATAATTTCAAAAAGTGGCATTTTTGTAAAAATTTTAAAAATGTGGCATTTTTGTAAAATGACACTTGAAAAATAGCATTTTTTGAAATTTCTCTAATAATTTTGATCTTTGAACTCGTTTTTCAGGTTATGTTGCTTTATTATAAGAGATTATTTGCTAGAAATACAACAAAAAATCTATAATATACAAACTAACCAAAATCTCTTTTTTTTTTCACTATCTTTTCCTATCTCTCTCTAAAATTTTTCTAAATTTCTAATTATAATTTTTTTTAGTTATTATTGCAAATGACCCTTATTATCAAGTATTGAATTTATTCCAATTTTTGAAACTATGGTCTTTGTTTTTGTCAACAAAAATTGTGGTGTAATAACGTCACGAAAAATGATGATTTAACATACAGTATCTCGTACTTGTGTGACAAAAAGAACTTATATATTTTGTACTCGTTAGAAGCAAATCCGATGTTTCGTTCTTTAATTTTGAATATGTCACTTATGTGGTTGTCAAACAAAGCATCGGAAAATTTACAATCTCTATTATTATTACACGACAAATATTTGATGTCCAATATTAACAGGTTGATGTGTTTGTTGACATCAATGATGGTTTTATGTAAAGATTGCACTATTTATTTTTGGATTCTTACATATGTTATTATGTTTGCTGTTTTTGTCCGACGAGTACCAGTTTGTTGCCACATCTATATTCTTTTTTTTTTTTGCTAAAATGCCACATCTATATTCATAAAAAAAAAGTGTAGTTTATCATCATTTATACGTAGAGAGAAATAATTAATATGTAGTTTGCAATTGTATAACTATTCCTAACTAGACAAGTTTTTTTCTTATTGTTTTCTATATTCATGGAAAATAATAACCGAATAATATATATGTAATTAAATAATATTTTATCCCCACGCATCTTTGTCGTATTTTAAGAATTTAGAAGTAACACCTTTTCACTTTGTAAGCTTAGGCCATCGATTAGTGTCCTGTAAAATCCTCAAAGATCAAAACTATTCCAATTTGTCACTTGAGCAGTTGAGCTAACTGCATTTGATATATGTTTAAGATTTTTAAGTTTTTTCAAAAAAAAAATATCGCTTTATATATATAAAAGTCATCTGAAAGAATCTTTTCTTCCTCTGACGTAAAACTCTAAAATACTTCCAAGTTGTACAAGTAACGGAATACTAAATTTTTTTTTGTTAAAGTTTGTTTTTTTTGCTTAACGGAATACTAAAATTGCATGTCGTTGTTATTATCAATAACTTTAGATTAACGCAAAGTGCATATAGGAACAAAGAACCAGAAATAGTAACATTAATAGAATATGTTTGAAGAAATGGATAATAACGAATATTGAGATAGAAACAATCACGACGAAGTGGTAGTGGTAGGTTGTAGCAACAGCGATGTCCAGTCAAAATCATTTGGCACACAAAGTCCTTGTAACAAATTATAATATATCAGTTTCTTCTATATATATGCGTAATGCGTTTCAATTTATTTAGATTCCAAGATATTTCTGCCGAAGAATAACAAAAAGATAGGATTACGAATAAGCATGG